AAATAAAGAATACATACTCCCAACCATGAGAATACATGCTCTTAAAGAGGAGGAAAAAATCACTATATGTCACAAAACAAATACAACAACTAAAGAAAACAAATAATAACTACAATAAAGCCCTCCTCGACAACCTACCTGAAGCTCCTAACCACCAACCAGAACAGATACCCGACAAAGAACGAAAAGCAAGACGACGGAAGATATGGAATATCTTCAATTTCATCATGTACTTATTGTTGCCATCCCAATATGGAATTGAGTTGATTCAGTAAAATTCCCCCATCCTATCATATGGAATTGAGTAGATTCAATCAAATTCCACCATCAACCTTATAGATTCTCACGGATTCCATCAAATTCTGCAATTTTAAAATAAAATAAATTTGAATAGATTTCTTCAAAAGGATTTCAACATGCATGTGTTCTATGTTGTCATTTATCATCTGTACATTCTGAAGAACATGATATAGAAAAAAAAAAATAAAAAATAAGAAATGGTGTAGCTTGCATACATTCTAAAGAAAATGGTCTAGAAAAATGCATATCATATTAGAAGACATTTATTTTACATGAAAATCAAATTTACCCTTTTCGATGAACTGATCAAGTTCATGTCGTATGGAACTCTACATTTTACATATTATGCCCGACAAATGCATGTGACAGGTCATGCAAGTAATTAAAAGACAGAAAAAAAACGACCATCCAAAAATGTTACAAGCAACTCAATAATTTCATAATAAGTACAAATAAGAATTTATTTATAATTTACCAAATATATGCATTTACGAAATTATTACTTATGAAAATACAGAAATCAAAGCATTTTAGAAATACAAATATTACATATTTTGTGAATATATAGGATATGTAGAATTCTCTTGACATGTGTAGAATTCGGATGACATGGGATTCATAGTGAAATTTGTGAAAAATTTTATTCAATCAATGGAAATCTATACCTTACAAAAATTTCCATTAAATTCTATGTTGGGAAACCCATTAATTTCAAAAATTGAATTTTATTGATTTACTAAATACTCTCTAAGTTTGGTTTCATCCCCAGTAAATGCCCACCAACCTCGGTAACCAAATGTGACAATTCAGTTTCTATTTATTAATTAATTTCTCATTCTCCCTTTTCTCCATCTCAAACCAAAAAAATGGCGGACGCATTTCGCAAATTCCCGCTCGCAATCGCCCTAACCTTTCTCCTCCAATTTTCCCTACCTTTCCCGCCAATTGCCTCCGCCGCCGCGCACGAAAATCCGTTGGCCACCCAGGTCTGCCGGAACACCACCGATTTCGATTTCTGCCGGCGGTCGATCTACTCCGACCCTCACGCCCCCACCGCCGACCGGGCGTTCCTCGCCGTCATAATCTTCACCAACGCCTTCCTGAACGCGACGGACACCAGGGACCACATCGCCGCGCGGGTGAAGTCGGGCGGCCGCGGCGGAGGAGGAGGAGGAGATTCCGGCGTGGCGCGTGGCCTGAGAAGCTGCCTCCGCCACTACGACGAAGCGATCCGCGCCGTGTCGGAGGTTCTGGGCGATCTGAACGACGACACGTTCTACGATTTCGACAAACTGTCGCTCGAGGCCGAGAGCAACGCGCGCGCCTGCGAGAGTGGGTTCCACGGGCGGTCGCCGATAACTCCGAGGAATGAAATCTTCATCAAGCTTGCCGAGATTTGTTTCGCTGTTTCCCAGCTTTTTCCGTATAACTAACTAGCCACGCGGATTGTACTGTTTTTTATTTGAAAAAACAAACAAAATAATAATAATAATAAAATAAAACAGTACAGTGTGTACATTTTCTTTTCTAATTTAGTTCATATATTTTTTTTTTTTTGTATTATCCTTATTTTTTATATAGATTTTTTTTTAACTTTTTTAATTTTTATTTCGTTTTCTATATATAGTATAATACATTAATTATTCTAGCGCTTCAATTTAAAATCCGTAAGACATTTATAAAAATAATATATTTCCATTTATTTTTATAAATGAAATTAAACTTAATATATCAAACCAAATAATTGGAAAACATATAAAACTATACATTATCTTATGAAATAATGCAATTTAATTTCGATTTTTACTACTATATTTAGTAGTAAATAGGTAACCTTGTTATAGTAATAGATACTTAATACAGAATTTCTACCAAATATGTTCTTTTATTTTTTGTTTAAATTTCAAATCATTAACAAATCTAAAATATGGGTGTAGTAAGATTGGTAAGTTTTATTATTGAGATTGTCTTGATGAGTTTTTTTTTTTTAAGTTAATATACTATTGATTTTCTCCACGGCCACAATCAGTTTCCTAGCTAGATGTATGTCCATTGCCCAAGTCGTGTAGATTTATTCATTTAATTTTCTTAATTTAAAACCGACTGCCATATATATTGCATCGATTGCATTTCCTTTTCAAATTAGGAAAGACAACACGAGATTCGAATCGCATGAAATGTTTATGCCCTCAATCTTCGGAAAATGGTACGTCCCCAATCAATGCACGCAAAATCTGCATAAATGTACCAACCTTGCACTATATATATACTTGTACGTATCTATTTCAACTTCATCAATCTCCGCAAAATCCGAGGTGGGGACGGCCGTGGGTCAGCCGAGCTGAGCGGCCTGAAAGGCTGCCTAGCGGACTACACATTGGCGGTGCAGACCCTTAAAGAGGTTCTAGGGGACTTGGACTCCGAGACGTACTATGAATTCGATGTATTGTCCAACAAATCCAGAAATAATGTGGCCACCTGCGTGAAGGGGTTTGGCGGCATTGGGTCGCCGGTGACCCATTTTCGATTCTAATGATTGACGAGATTCAGACGATCTCCATCAACGGAAATCAGAAACGTCTCAGAGTTCGCAAATTTTAAGCATTGAGTGTTTATACCAATCTATTCTACACTGTGTAGTAGGCTTATATTTTTGTGACTTACATGAAATATGACGTTCCTCATAGAACACCAACACTTGAGTCGCTCGTGATATGGTCCGCACGTCTTATGGGCTTCTGGTTTTGGTGTGGGCTTGACTCCTTATTTGGGCGGAAACTTTTTAGATATTTTCTCGTACAACATAGAGGCCTCCAAGTTTTTAGGTGTGGAGGGATCGCCGAGGCATCTGAGAACAGGGGTGAGCATGGGTCAGTACGGTTCGGAGATTGATAAATCTCCAGAACCGTACCGAAGTTCGGAGATCACTAAAATTCGATCTCCAGAACCTTACCAAAAAAGCGGTTCGATTTTCGGGACTATCGGAACGGTTCGGTTCGGTTTCGGTTCGGATATTCGGAGATTTCTTATTATTTTTTAAATTTTTTGAATAACCACCTAGTTATATTTTATTTTTTATATGTTTTTTTTTTTTTTTAAATCCAACATTCATCAATACTTCATCATACTAACGATTTTATTTTTAAATCAACTTTAGAAGTAACCCTAAATTTTAATTAAGACTAAAATTCAACGAACATTGAAAATTTAAAATTCAAACCAAATATAATACAATTTTATATTAAAGTAATATTTATTTAACCTTCCATACCATGTTAGTTATAAGATAAACCAAAGTCAAGTGTCGACAACTTTAAGTAAAGCTTAAATAATTTTTTTTTTAAATCTGTAACTTTTCATTCCATTTTTTTTTTTAAATAGGATAAATTAAATTATAGATTAAAGAATTGTTATTACTATATTTTATTTACATTTTAAAAATTCTCAAATTATATAGGATCAAAGTTGACATAAAATATATTAATAACACGCATCTATTTTTATAATTCGGTTCTTAATTTTGGTTCTTCGGTTCGGTACGGTAGGGGACGGCTCGGTTCGGATATTTATGAAATCTCCAGAACCGTACCAATTATTTTTCGGTTTGGTTCGGTTCGGAGAAAGTCAAACGGTCAACGGATATTTTTCGGTTCGGAGTGATTTCGGTTTGGTTTTCGGAACGATTCGAAATTCTCCAATTTTCATGCTCAGCCTTACCCGAGAAGCTACAAACCTTTAATTTTTCCAATCAGGAAACAAATATCATTTTTATTTGGTCAAACAAATATCCCAATGAAGTTGAAATTTGATATAAAAAAAGATTTAAGAAAATACATTTCATGTTATTTGTAGCACAAATTATTATTTTTACCGAGTACCGAATCGAAGGATTCATTCCCCGGGTCGATCTCACAAGGAAGGCGGTTCGAAATTTAGTTTCGGTATTGATTTCACATAAAAAGAAAATAAAATCCTAAACATTCTAATCAAATAGGGCTTTCGAATAATTATTAACTAAGAAAGAAAAAACAATAATCTACCTAAGAATAATAGAAGGAAACAAAGATGGGTTGCTAGGGAATCGGGGATAATTTATTCAAGTTCTTAGCAAAACCGGGCAATCAATTATTCGGTTCGAGATTGACACTCTCGCTTAAACATCTAGCGGTTCGCTCCCAATAACTCTTCGTAACAAGGGATTGAACATAGACGAACAAGCTCGAGCATACAACACAGGCCAATCATCCAATCCCAATAATTTTTCGTAACAAGGGACGGGTCATTGACAAGCACGTATTTCAATCTCAACCCATAGATTATTCAGTTACGAAATTATCTATCTCATGCAAGCCTAGGTCTACGACTTCTCCCCTTTCGATTCGAAAAGTCGCTAATTAAATTAGAAGGTGTTTAATCAACTAATCATATAGAATTAACAAACCCTAACTCGACAAATTAACATTCAATCGTTTCCAATCGCAAGATCGAAGTGTCACTCTTCGATTATATCAATCAATCAAGCAAGATTACATCAATTCCTAATCAGATTAACTCACATAAGTATGAACAATTTAAGCCCGACAAATACACGTGAAACATGAACAATCATCCCTTATCCCTAGCAATAAGATTTAGCTAAGTAACATGAATTCAACACAATAAAGCATTCCACCCCAAATAATCATTCACATGAATTAAACGAGATGAAAAATACTTACAATAAATCCAATCCGAGAGTTGAATCCAAATTACAAGCTTAATTCTTAGATGTGGAGAAGAAGAAGAAGAAAAGAAAGATGAAGAGAGGAGGAAAAATGATGAAGAAGAAGGTAGGGAGGACAAGAGAGTTGCGTTCTTTTTCTGAGCCTAGGGTTCGTCCCCAGGAGGGGAAGAATCAATAAAACGAGTTCCCGTACACATATTTATAAGAAAAGTCGGTCATGGCGTGAGGAAGGCGCGACACGGCGCGGCAGGGCTGGTGTGGCGTGGCGCGGCGCGGCGCTGCAGGTCTTCACGAGCACGAGAGCAGAAACAGGGGTCGCAGTTCGGGTCGCAGTGCTGCCGCGGCGCGGCGAGGGCTGGTGTCGCGGCGCGGGACCTGGACAGCTCGCACTTCTTCACGTCTCGGGCTCGTTTGTGCTCGTCCGAACTCGTAATTGAGTTCCGTTTTTTCCTATGCGTTGCCAATGAAGTCCTCTACACAATGGTGCTTTCAAATTCAATTTATTATTGAAAACCTATTCTCCCAAATCTTTTGACTTGAAGTTAGCAGCTTCCGTGTGCGACTTCACATATCGGGACCGTCCGGACTCGTACGAACTCGAAATCGAATTTCGCTTTTTCCAATATATCGCCAACGAGCTCATCTATCCAATCATGATCTCTCGGCCCATTTTCGAGCTAAATCGATTCCTCACTGGGCTTGCGACCTGCACACTAAAAACAAGAAAAAAAACGTAGAAAACCAACAAAATACACGAAAAACACATAAAAAGTCAAACTAGAACAAGACGTACAATAGACTACAAAACGAACTAAAACCAACTAAAAGACCTAATATGGGGGAAAAAGAAAAACAAAATGACAACGAAAAACGCAACAAAAATGGGACAAACAATTACCTCCCCTTTTTCTTCATAATTCATCAACATTATTTACTAAATTATAATCATATACTTTTTTACGTTGTCTTATTAAGTTTCACTATTAACTCCTCATAATGAAATCAATCTTGTCAACATTTTCCATCATTATACTAATTTTATATTATGACAACTTTAAACACTATATATTTATTTTATATTTTTAATTGTAAAAAAAAAAAAAATTCTTACTAGAGATTTGTTTTCCAATTTCTTATTATCGTTGCTCGGAATAATTTTATGGTCCCAACATTATTAATTTATAGAGGTTTTTTATTGTTTTTAAAAGTTTTTGTCTTTATAAAGACAAAAACTTTTAAAAACAATAAAAAACCTCTATAAATTAATAATGTTGGGACCATAAAATTTTATTAACTTAGAGAGATATGAATTAATTTAAAATGTGATTTCACGATTTAGCAATTATAAATTTTGGCAAGTGTAGTTGGTGAGTAAGTAGACTTGTTTCCGACATTGCAGAATTCGTTCGGAAGATGAAACAACTTTAAGTAGCTATAATGAAGTGGCTTTTGAAGAAAGTATATATTTGTGAACTTGAGAAATTAATTAATGATCTGAGTTGCCACAACAAAATGGAGGTCAATCACTTATTAGATTACCCAAGTAAACATGATGGATGTTTAGAGGTCTAAAGTTTAAAGAAATTGTGGATAGTGTCATTGGAAATTCTGTTGAGGATGAAATTGATGATTCAGTACCTTTTGAACCAATCACACGGAAGGAAGCACTAATGGCTGCCACAACTCTTCACAACTTTTTGTTGCAGCTTGAGATGAGTACGACGCCAAAGCTTTTGAATGCAATGAGAAAAATTAATGATGAAATCAATTTAGATTTGAATTTCACGAAGAAACAAAAAACAATAGATTTATATTTTACTAAATTGCCTTAGTTATATTTGTAATTTTAGAGAATTATTAATTTATGATTTTGATGGGATTATATATTTATAAAGGGGTTTCTCTAAAAATTATTATCTTATTATTTTATTAAAATTTATAATTTTTTATATTATCCCAAGTCAAAACCGAGAGAAAATATTATTTTTGAGAGAATATTAATCTATAGAGGTTCTACTGTAGAGTGATTTTGTAGCCTTTAGATAGATTTTGTAGCTTAGAAATATAATATTTTATGCAAATATTTACTTGTTTATTTAAATGGTTAGTTCACAATGCATACCACTGCAGGTAGTTAGTGTGTGGCGTAATTATGTACATTGTGCAATCTGATTGGGTTAAGGATTGAAATTGCTGCAACTTGATATGTTTATTTCTATTTATTTGTGGCAATTTTGAAATTGTTGCAAGTTGCAAGATCCATTTATATTTGTTGCGCTTCGTGGTCAGCTCAAGAATATTAATTTATACATATTTTCTCGACCACTTAATTCTATAATTTAGAGTGTCTTTGGAAAGTTCTAAGCCATCTTATAACTTATTTTTTTAGTTTATAAGGTTTTTTACACAAATAAGTTTGGTTTAATAGAACGAGCTTTTTTAAAAAACTCGAGTTTATTTGATAAGTTTCTTTTGTTAGTTTTTCAAATAAGTTCGTTGAAAATTTTATTTCAACTAACTTATCAACTAATTTTACCAAATACTTTATCATCAACTAGCTTTTCAGCCATAACACATAAACTATCAGCTATAAATTCGAAATTCACTTATAAGCTATTATCTAACTTATTAACTATCACCTAGCTTATGAGGTGGTTTTACCAAACATAACTTTAAATAACTTTAGAGCTTGTTCAAACCAATTTTAAAATAGGATAACACGCTCTATAGGGCATGAGTTCGAGTATCATAAGTGTTTCCTCATAAGAACGCCCGCGAATTTGATCAATTACCCTTCTTGCTTTGTCGGCGCGGATGAATACTCATGTTTGATGCTATATAAAGAATGAACTTTATGACTAAGTTTTTTTTTTTTTTTTAAAAAAAAAAAACGATAGATATTATATTCCATGAACAAATATACAAGTCGGAGACTCAAAAGCCCCAAGTTCAATACAACAATATAACCCAACTAGGAGAGCACTCACCTGAGAGACTCTAGACACACAACCCAATGAAATAACACTTACATCAACCAAACTACTATAGGCAGTAACATAAATTGAACCCTTTAGCATAAAATAGCAACAAATACAACAACAACACAGAGAAAAGAAACATAAATCTACAATGAAACCAAGAAAAATGCCACAACTGAACCCAAGGACCTAGTGAACATCTTCCCTTCTATCACACAGCTCTTGTTCCTCTGCATTGAGCAAATTCCACCCAATCTCCTTGAGCTGCACTCACCACCATCCTCTGGCATCCAGACACTTTTAAGTTTCCAAAGATTTTGGGATTTCCATAACCACCATAAAATATAAGTGGTTAATTTCATCCTATCCTCAGAAATTTCTTTTTCCCAACTGCACACAATTTCCACCACCAAGACTTAAAAGATATGGACTCTGAAGGCCCTTCATCCCAGCTCATCGGTGTGCTCTACTACAATTAAATAAAAGATGTCGTATTGTCTCCTCCCTTTCCCCACAACTTTGACAAATGTGATCAATAGCCATTTCCCTTCTTCTCAGATTAGAACTCACTGGCAGTACATTAGAATAACACTTCCAGAGAGAATGTTTAATCTTGTTCTTTATCTTCAACTCCTGACTCTTTAGTCTCACTTTTCTATCTATCCCACCAGAGTTACTACCTTCAGCAATATCCAACAACCTCAACTTATTTTCCACAAGATAATTATAGGAGCTAGCCACAGAGAATTTACCTTTGCCATCAATCCTCCAGATCCATTTGTCAGCCAAAAGAGGATCTAAGGTCTTGATTTTCAGAATGGCTTCTTGAACAACACTTGTAAACAGCTCCTCCAACAACTCTATGTTCCAGCTCCTGCCACCATCTGTCAATAACTCTTCAACCCATTGCACTCTCTTGTTACCACTCCTACCTTCATCATTGCACTGTAGCTCCACATTAGGAATCCCTGGGTCATGCCAAATGTTTGTCTCCTTTCCATTCCTGATCTCCATCATAAAGTGTTGTTTGAATTTATCCTTTATCAGCAATTAGTTACTCTATAGCCAAGAAGCATTGAAGGACTTATTGGCCTGCAAAAAAGAGCTTTTATGATAATACCTCACTTTTAGGATTTTTGCAACCAACAGATTTGGTTGAGACACTATCCTCCACACTTGTTTCAAGATAAGAGCTTCATTAAAAATAGTGATATCTTTCAATCCTAGGCCTCCCCCAGATTTGGGTAATGTCAAGAGGCTCCATCTTTTACAGTGCATCCCATTTTGTTGCTCCCCCTTCCTCCACCAGAATTTGGCAGTCATACTAGCAGTGTCCCTGCAAATACTTTGAGGTAGACAAAAGCAAGACATATTGAAAACATGATGAGCTCATCTGACAACCCTAACCACAAAATCAAAAGACTCTTTCTTTGATCTCCCAATGCCAAAAGGCAGCCCCAGGTATTTACTAGATCTCTGCTCCTCAAGAAATTGCAAATATTACCCTTAATAGAAGAATTGAGACTTCTACTAAAAAAACATAAGATTTTCCCAAATTAACCATCTGACCAGTAAACCTTTTATACCTATCAAGAATAGACAGCAGTGTTCTAGCATGATCACCTGTAGCCTCACAAAGAATCAATGTATCATCTGCAAATAACAAGTGGGAAACAGAAGGGCAATTCCTACCCATTTTCAGCTCATGAAATCTTCCCCTATCCACCTCAGCATTAATCAATCTTGTGAAAACCTCAGAAATGAGAAAAAATAGATAAGAGGACAGAGGGTCCCATTGTCTAATACTCCTAGAAGCAGACACAAACCCGGACACACTCCCATTTAGATTGAAAGAAAAGCAGGTATTAGTGATGCAAGCCCAAACCCATTTAATAAATTTAGAATGAAAACTCATATGACTAAGAACATTTCTCACACATTCCCACTCAACCCTATCGTATGCTTTTTCCATATCCAGCTTAACCATCATAAAACCCTTTCTCCCAAATCTGAGTCTATTTAAAAAATGCACAGCCTCATGTGCAATAATAACATTATCCATTAGTTGCCTTCCAGGAATGAAGATCAGCTTGATTTACACTGATGTAACTGTTTAGAGCAAGCTTCAATCTAGCAGTCAAAATCTTGGACTAAGTTGTTTATGCAAAAAGTCACTTTGTAGAAGTAAAGGATGGAGACTTTTGGATAAATTCACTTTGTATAAATCCATTTAAGAAATGGATTTTTTTTTAGTGCCGCCAAATAAGCATTAAAGTTTTAGAACATAATATAATTCTTAAAAAAAAAATCCAAGATATAGAATGTAGATATATAATTCTAAAAAGAAATCAAAATAACCTATTTTTTTATTTTGGTCAAACGATGATACACTAAAACTGAAAAAAGAAAATCCCCATGATGTCCAATCAACCTTCTTGCACACAACATCATGAAGGAAACAAAAAAACTCAATAACGGGTTATATCCAGAGCTAAAAAACACAACCTAAAAAAGTGAAAATAAACTCCCAAAATATGAGACAATCACCCTTAGAGTAAGGTCTAAACCAACTCCGTATAAAGCCTAAGTTCTCCACCCAAGCCCTACACTACATGGAACGAGCAAACACATAATACTACCATCAGGATATATTTTGGCGTAGAAGTCCCTCAACAAGCAACTACAGAACAAAATACAAAACCACCGAAACACCAAAACAACAATAAACAACCTAAAATGTAAAATAACTAATAAATAAAACAACGTTCTCCTCGTCTAACTGTTGGGTTCGCTAGTACCGTACGGACTGTACGCAGCGGAATTTAAAATTTTAAAAATAAGTATTTATCGTATAAATACAACACCCGTACATACTAATTGCGAATTAACTGATCGTCATCTTTAAAACATGCATCATATACAAATTTTGATTTGTTACTATAAAATAAATACTAGTAAAAATATTTACCGAGTGTCTTGAACTCCTTCAACTATGATGTGGATTGTGGGAATCGGTTCCCGGTTGTAACTTCAACGGCTTGAGGTTACTCGCTTTAGGAATCCAAGTGTCTTCCCTCTAAACGTATCCACCCTATGAAGCCCGGTTCCGACGACTTTCCTTCGCTAGTAGAAAAGACTCGGTTTTCTTGTATAGAAATATTTATGAATTTTTATTTGGGAATTTTCAAGAACTCTTTCTTGAATTATATGAAGAACACTTTCTTCTCTCTTTCTAACACTTAGAAATTTTAGGATCAAAACTTCTCTAAATGCAAAACCATTTTGCACATATTTATACTAAACATTTTAGCATAAAATAATCAACATTTAGTAATATTTAAATAAAATCAAATTTTATTTAAATAGTATTTACTAACTTTTGACTTTGAAAATAATAAGATATGTTAAGTAGTTCAAACAACCATCAACAACCATTTTATTATAATCATATTTATTATCTTAATCTTTAAATCATATTTAAAGATATAAATAATAATTGAATAATAAATCTTGAGAATCTTTCTCAAGACTTTATTATTATATAATTTTCCCAATATTATAATAATCATATTATTATTATTTTGGATTTTGAAATTTAAAATCCTATTTTAAAATTCAACTTTATTAATTTAGTAATTACCTTAATTACTAAAGTAATATCCAAAATTGTAATTAATCAATCTTATTGATTAATATATATTCCTTTAATTGATATCTAATCAAATTAGATATTTATCAATTAATTCTAACCATTAGAAATACAATCTTTACCTTTGTTCATAATTAGTGTGACCTTTTAGGTTCACCTTAATACTAGTAGTGGGTTTACAACACTTTGTAATTTGAGTTAAATCTTATTAACTCTTATTCATGAATTAACCCTTTAATTTATGAACCCACATATCATGGTAACACCTAGCAAGTAGCATGAATCTAGTATTAAGTGAATAGCGAGTAAACCTATTCCGATTACAACTCCATACATGTAAAATCCTTTCGACATCTAATTTCCCGATTAAGTCTTGGGTATGATTTTGTCGAAACCCAAATTGACTTAATAACTATGATTCTATTTCATGTTTATTAACCCGGTTATGAATCACTATTCATCTCTGCCTTGGCCAAGGACTTTGGATTAATAACTATGAAACACATAGGAAATTCACTTATCTTCATAAGTGTCGAATCCTTTATTGGCCACTAACAAACTTCCATACATATTAACATAATACCCAACTTATCCCTTTAAACGATAGTGCTAGCTACCAAAAGGATAAATCAAAGTAGAATGTAATATGCACAAAGTTACCATTGTGCCTCAAGTCTTAGGATTAGTCATGTACTATTGTAACATGAAAATTCTTATTCGACTGAATAAATTCTTCATTAAGAATTTTCATACGGTCATGTTCAGTGAACTTGTTCTCTAACAAGCACCCACATAAATGTACTTACGTCTTACGCTAATGTTGATGGAATGCAACATTCTTGTCCAACAAGCATACAAACTATGTGCAAGTCTTTTATGGATTATTCGATATCCCATCTCGAAACATCCATCGACTTGGAACTGTATTTAAGATCACGGCTTTCAAGGTATGTTCCATGATCACCATCTCTATGCGCAACCATACCTTATAACCATAAGTGATCTAGGGATTTTATCTTAAGTGCAATTATAAGATAAATGCTTTCTCTTAAGATAAAGAAATGCCTTATTCATAATATAATTCCAATAGACTGTATTTACAAGTAGAATACGTCCAATTAGATTGGAACGCCGGGTACCCTACTCTAACAATCTCCCACTTGCCCTAGTTCCAATCACTCATGTATCTAAGACCCATCTTCTCAAG